GGCGGCGTCGCTGCTTCGGAGGAGATGCTTCGTCTGGTCTTAGAGTCCACGACGGTGGCTACAGTGCATCGAGGCGCTCCTCACCTGCGCGTCTGCTAATGAAAAGTCGTTGTACGGGGGAAGCTATGCAACATTTCCTACCATGTACGTAAAGCAGTTGCATTGTAATTGCATGACTGACCATCGGAGAAGTGGCTGGCGGGGGAGAGGCAGCAGAGTCTGCTCCACAGCTTTCTCCAAGTCTTCGGCACTGGCCGGCAGACAAGGGCATGCAGAGAACAGACAGCAAGCAGGACTTGGAGTGCAGACCTGGGGCAATGACACTGTTTTGTACTTGTTCAGGTGCAAGCTAATGCAGGAGCTGTGCTCAGTCACTGACACAACCATCACATCAGCACAGTATGTTTCCCCAATGGCTGCTTTCCACTCCAGCCTCCCTTACTTCATCTCCTCTAAGCCCTCTACAGCCACCTGATCTGATCAAGCAGAAACGCACGGCACAGGGAGAACACAAGGACCACCTAGACTTCTCAGGCCTGTGCTCTGTCCCTGGGCTTTACTCCAAAACAATAACAAAAACATTGAACATGTCTGGATTTATTTATTTTGTTAAAAGGCTTGGCTGTTCAACTGCAGGGAGAACTGCCCAGTACCAATTTCTCCAGTAACACATTGGGCAGACCAGAGACAGAACACAACACCCACCAAGGCTTCTCTGTCAGCACAAATGGTTTCAGCATCCCCCTAAAGAGAATGAAGGAAAGGTAGACACAATGGCCAGCCCATGCCAGGATTTGGAGAGAAGTCTAGAATAAGCAAACGCACTGGTGTCTTTTCTTCATCTTTACGGGAAGGAGTCACTGCACCTTCAGCTGGAATGAGAGTATTCCCTCATGCTCTCGTCTGTGTCCAGCTAACCACGTGCACGCTGCCACACAGGTCTGCTTTTGTTAGAGGCAGGGAAGACAAAGCTACCATAGGGTTAAATCCAGTGACGTTTTCTCTGTTATCAGACTTTTTGTCTCTCCTTTCTCCTATTGCAAGTCTTGGTCATTGATTTGGTAACCCAAAAAAGTAATCTGATAAAACTTAATTTAAAAAAAAAAAAAAAAGTGGTGCAAACATGCCTGGTTTTGCCCTGCAGACAGCCTGTAACATTTTCGTGCATCGGAGGTCAACCTGGTCACAGAAAAAGAACCTGAAGTTGGCAGGACTAGCCAACCTGTGAGACAGGCAACTGCTCCCCTGTTTTTCTGAATGTCAAGTCAATGAAAAGCAAGGGGGCACCTACTGCAGGCTGCTCAGTTTCTCCCGTGGGCTGGCAGGACGTATATAAACCACAGTGTTGAAACAAGTTGTACCATGGGGCAGTGATGAAAGATAAATACCTGCCTCTGTCCTCTACCTTACTGTTTGAGCTGCAGCCTAGACTCATCAGTCCTCATCTGAGCTATCCTCTGATTTTTCATCAGCAGCCACCTTCCAGTTCTTCCTCTTGCTCTTCTTCTCTGGTACTTCATTGTGCCTCTCTGACACAGAATTGTGACGTTTCTTTCTCTTTTTCAGAGGCTGTTTCTCTTTTTTCTCCTCAGATTCACTGTCCTCACAGCTGCTGGTGGTTGAGCTGCTTCCATGAGAAAAGTCACTTTCCTGCCCAGAAGAGGTAGGTTCCCTGGCAGGCACTTTCCTGGTCTTTTTCTTGCGCTTGTGTTTCCCTTTCCGGGTGCTTGAAGTCTCCTCTTCTGAGCACTCACTCTCCCGGGAAGAATCTGATGATGTTCTCCCCTGCTCCTTTTTCTTTTTCTTTCGCTTTTTGTGTGATCGCTTTTTTTGCTTCTTCTTGTGCGATTTCTTTGTTTTTTTCCGTTTGTGTGACTCACGGGAAGTTTGCTTTCCCAGATGAGATTTCTTCTTCCCATTGATAACGTTTTGTTCATCTCCTTCTTGCTGGTCACTATAAAAAGAACAAGGGATGACCAAAAGGAGGCAGACAGGCAGGCACATAGCAGTTGAGCCTTTTCCATCTCAAAGTTTTAAGCAAGCTCATCCCTTCATTTGGCTAAAGCAGGGAAGCAAATGCTTTGACAGATGTGGTAGCTGTGTTTTTGTTTCAAGTGCTCATTAACAGCTTGGTTCTACACCTTACTAATACCCTTGCTTAAGATATTTGATCCAGAAACGAGGAGAATTTGTGCTGAAAGCCACTGAGTGATGAAAACTCATTTATAGCAGATTACTTCAAATCTAAGCCTGATAAATATTATACTTGATGATTCTGTTAAGTGCAGTTTAAAAATAATTATTTCTCTCAAAGATCTTACTTTACAGTTAAGTGTTCACTCTCCAGGATACTGCAGGAATTTATATTCTCCAAATAAGGAGAAACACAGAAAATACAGGTACACTACCGTTGTGGAAATTAACTCTATCCCTGCCAAACCTAGGACAACTATAATGGAAAGGAGAACCTGGAGCTGGTATTTGAGAGGGTGTATGCTGAGCTGATTTGGAGTCAGCCTATTACTCTGGCTCTCTGTTGGCCCAGACAGATCTTACAGATTCCTACCATTTAATAGCTTAGGCTAAAGCTGAATGTCTAATTACTGTAAAAGATGCAGTCTCCTCCTAAGACTCTGAAAGGGCGGAACCACATCAATGGACTAGATTTTTTTCAGTGGGAGTCTGTAACAAAACAGTGCTGCTTTACATTCACGACTGATCTATATTCAAAGCCTAAAACATAGTTTGTAAAATTGCCTGCATAACCTGTTTGCCTTACCTATCCGTATCAAACTCTTCAGGGTACAATTCTTTATAGCCACTGTGACCCCATCTGTAAGAAAGTGGAACCATCTATTAGAAACAGAAAAGGTGTTCAAAGGAAAAATATAATTCTGAAAAGAGAGTGCCACAGAATGAACATGCGTTTAGATAACACAGAAGGGCTATCAGAACCTTCCCAACAAAGAAGGAAGGAAACATAATTGATCTGGTTGGTACTATTTAAATACACTTATGTTCTCAGACTCTTTTCCATTTCTAATTAGGGAAAACTACAACTCAAATTTCTTTAGAATAACCCTGGAGAGCATGAACTTGCATTTCTCGAGATTTTTAAAGTTCCTTGGGCAAAGTAATAAATATTAAGCTCAGTTGCTAAGCTCAGAGCTGAGTTTTTGTTGCCTACTGTGACTTAGGAACTCTATAGATGAACTCAAATTAGGTATTCTGTGACACTGTAAAAGTTCATGCAGGTTACTTACTCATTCTAAAAATGAGATCAAGTGCTATTTTATAGGAGTACATACTGAAAAGAGAAATGTACTAACTTTTTGGTACAGGACTCCAGAAATGTGGTTTAATTACAGTTATAATCACAGAACATTAATTCAGCCACAAACCTGTCTGGCATGTTGGCTTCACATTCATACAGCTTTTTATTCCAGGATCGGGCCCTAAGGAGATCATCTTCGACTGGGTCAAGAAATTGTGTGTTCTTTGTTTTCCAGTCAGCTCTGTAGCCCTCCTCATCAAAGCCATCACTGCGCATCCGACTGCTGCAGAAAGAGAACAGTTGTCCTTCAGCTGTCAGCTCTGATGGAGAAACTTTCTGAGCAAGGGATTAGAGTCCAGAAAGAAGTGCAAAAATCCAGCAAGTCTTGGATGTCCATCTATGCAAGAAGACCAGCTATCATTTTAAGAGACAGTCACCATTAACAGCTCTCTCAAAACCAGTTCAGTAGCTAACACTGGTTTTAAAAACTTACTACGTCCTTCTGTGTACAGAAAAATTCTTGATAGAGATGCTCACAATGCAAAATTAGAGGAAGAGGTTTATCTTGCTTATCACAACAAATGAAGTTCTCTTCCTCTAGAATACCCTGCAGGAGCAGAGTAACAATATGCAGTGAGACATAGGCTAGTAAGAGCAGCAAAAAGGAAAGTGAAGAAGTAGAACTGACTTTCTAGAATTAGCATTTGATCAGGTACCAGGACTAAGACCCCAAATCCACAGAAAGCACCAACAGCTTTCAGTGACCTCACATGCCTGTGGCTCTAGTTTTGTTCCTCACTTGAAACGCCGCACTTCCTGAGCCAAGCAGCAGCTGTGGACTCAGTGTAAGTCTGAAAGGTGTTCTCCCCTGAGATACTAAAACCGCTTCCTGCAACATTCATGCTTCTGAAAGGTCTTCGTGGTAGTAAGCCCGCCACCCCCCACAACCCCCCTTGAAAACCCCAACCCTCTCCCCAAACTCAGGTTGTTTTCATGTAGCTTGTGAGATCCTCAGGCATGTCAGAATGATCTAACAGATACCACACAAGCAGCAGTTGATACCGGTGTGTTAAAATAGTAAAGGACTCCACATGAGGACAGTTTTGTTTACCGCCAACCTAAATGGCAATATATTAGACTTTCCTCACAACAATCTGCCATTCTACTTAAGCACTTCCTACTCCCATTGCTTCAGAGGGCCTGGCCTACTTAATGTTTTATTTTGAAGACTACGTATGTAGATGAAGAGATAAAAGGTCAGACTTAAGCATAGGTCTGACCTCTTCCCAGGGATTCATTAAGGAGAAAATAAATATATCTGTAGTCTATGTAGTCTTCATATGTTATAAACACATAGTCATCACAGAATGCTCTTGAAGAATTATAACACAAAAGGGTTCAGCAACTGAGTCAAGACGATTATCTCTTCCACACAACTGAAACCCACCTGGAGGTGTCTGACAGCATTCTGCTTTGCCTTTTCCAGTAAGTCTCTTCTGACTGCTTCTCCCACTCCCTTATTTTCCACATTTCTGTCTCTTCCTGAATCTGAAAGTCACAGAAAGGAAACAAGTGTAATATTAGGGAAACTTTTACAGACATGTAACATCAGCTCCTAGCTCAACAGTTCTGCTAACAAAATTCACAGCAAGCTTTCCTGCCATACTGAAATAGGTTGTTATTTCTAGCTATGACCAAGGTAACCAAAAGGAGAATCTCCCGATGGCGATACCCTAACAAAGCACATAAAGATAAGGCATCAGAAATGGTGGGTCTGCATGATTTTGCTGTCTCTGCTGTTCTGGCTTCCCTGCCTTGTCATTCATTCCCATCCCAAACATACATATTGTTAGAGAATTCAATATATAAATATTATCTGGAAGGACCAAGCCAAAATGAGAAGTTATGCTACAGGCTGAAAAAGCCACAGCATGCAAATACAGAGTGGTTTGGCACAGATTTATGTTTATGAACACTGACAGTAAATGAGTAATTTTATAAACATATTTCATAGATTTCTAGGTTGGAAAAGACAATAGAGATCATCCAGTCCAACCATCCCTAATCTCCCATTAAACCATATCCCTAAGTAGTTCATCCACCCTATTCTTAAACACATCCAGGGATGGGGACTCAACCACCTCCCTGGGCAGCCTATTCCATTGGCTGACAACCCTTTCAGAGAAGAAATACTTTCTAACATCCAACCTGAATCTCCCCTGACTAAGCTTATGCCCATTTCCTCTTGTTCTATCACCCATCACTAATGTAAAGAGCCCCTCCCCTACCTCCCCACCATCCCTTCTCAAGTATTTGTAGGCTGTAATCAGGTCTCCCCTCAGCCTCCTCTTCTGCAGGCTAAACAAATGAGTGGGACCTCCTGAATTATGTCAAGAATTAATTAAATAGCTTGCAAAAATTAACGGAGTTTCTTAATCTTGCACTGAAATACTTCCTGTGCACATTAACACAAAGTTCGAATTCTTTGATGCAATTAAAAGTACATACAAAGTACAACGAGAAAAACCAACAATTAAAGGTTTGCTACTTTTAAAAGGGGAAAGCGTACTTTCCATGAAAGCCCCGAGAGAACGGTTTTGTCGCAGGACAAACATTATAGGTAAATACATATACCCGTTCCCTCGCCAGGATGGGAACTCAAGAAAAACAGGGTTACGCTGAAAGTGAGACTAGAGATGTTTACGAGGCGGATTTCAACACGCTCCTTCCCTCTGAAAAACCCACCGGCTCTGCCCACCACCAGATGCCAACTCGGGCGCTCTGCTCCGCCGGCGGTTCCACACCGCTGGGCAGGTACCGGCAGTCCGGGGCCCCGCAGACGCCGCGCAGGGGATGCCCCGGGCGGCTCCGCTCTCACCGCGGACAAAAGCCGCCCACAGCAGCGGGCAGGAGGCAGAG